GGGAACCTTTTAGTTATATCTGTTCACAAAACGGGAAATTTTGTGTTGCCTCCATGAAATTGAGGTAAGTATTATTATGAGGAAGTGCATTATTTTTGCAAAAAGAATAGTCAAATAAGTTTAAAAATTCAATTTTGCAAATTTGTAAAGTTCTGTACCCAAACTTTAAAAATAAACTTTTAAGGCTGTTACTTGCTTAACCCCATATAAAAATATATACTATATATATGAGGGGTTATAGGCAAGAAATGCGAATAAGGACTTTATAAGTATATATTACATAAATCAATTGTGCAGTCAATACAAAGTTGAAGACAGTTAACATAGCACACATTTGAGTGAGATGTCGCGGGACATTGCGATTCTGTTTTCTCAAAAATCGCCTTTGATTTTATTGCTGCTCTGCTCTGCATTTGTTATTTTAGAACTGAGCCTAGAAGTAACCAAATATATTGGAAACTCTTCCGATCTGGATAGAAAGGTTACGGAAGATATATCCATAATTTTAGGGGAATCAATAAACTGACCAAAATTTTCCCATTCTGATCTTGACTTAATCTTAAAAAAATAAAGTACGCAGACATCCGACGCCAAAATGTATAACTAAAGCTGTCTTTCATGAGATTACTTGTTATAGAATTTTGTAAAATTAGTCTTAGGCATATTCATTCATGACTTTTTTTGTGGACCTTCATTTTTCTCGGGAATAAGTTGACATGTTTGGGTGGTTCAGAAACCATGACACACAAAGAGAGCTGCATAAGAAAAAAAGTTGGAAAGCTCGTTATTTAAATAAATGCTTATAAGATATATCTTATTTCGAAGGTTTTGGTGAGCACGTAAAATAAACTTTGGCGGAAGGCAATTACTCTTAGTGTACAAATAATGGTACATTTACAATTGTTCCCGACAATTCTATTCAAATTTATTAGTTACTGACCGGCATGTCCGCACGTGAAATTAAGAAATATATTACTGCTGCGATCTGCCAATGGGGCATATCACGCGAAAACGTGGTTGCCTTAATCCAAAATAAGTCAAACGATGCAAAAACGAAAGGACCAACTTGCAGTTCTCGTGAAAACGTGTTAGAATACATACTCGAAATTTAGGCTCTTCGACCATACATTATACTGCACGTAATATGGAAGCATATGTATTCGAAAACGTGACAAAACAATTATTTTCCAACGTAATTTTACTTGTGCTGCTTTATTCACTCGGTGGTTTT